ACATAAAAAAACCCTACAGGTTTCTTAGAGGAAGGAACATGTCTAATAGAATCATACAATATTATGAGCTGGAAAAAATCTTAGAGGTCATCCAATGCAATCAAGTGCAATCCAGGGTGGCAGCTAGATAACGAAGTGGATAGAGTGCTGGGCCTGGAGTCAGAAGGACTTATCTTTGTAAATTCAAATCTGATCTCAGACACTCGCTAGTTGTGTGACCCTGGGCAGGCAACTTAACCTCTGTTTGCCTCAGTTTCCTTATCTGTAAAATTGGTCAATAATAGTACTATATTCCAGGGTTATTGTGAGAATCAAATGAGATAATAATTGTAAAGCATAGTGCCTGGCATAGAGTAAGTACTATATAAGTGTTTGCTGTTATTAATATTAATTAGTGTTATTACTGTATTATTCACATCCTTTCCTCTGAGCAAGTCACTCAACCTCTTGAGACTCAGTTTCTTGTTCTGTAACATGGAGATAATAATACTGTACTACCTACTGTAAAGGGTATTGTGAGGCTCAAATTAGGATTCTATGTATAGAAATTATATACATAGTTATATATAATTGTACAGACATTTATATTTATATGAATTATATATATCTGTAGCTACAGATACTATATTATATAGAATTCATATACATATAATTATAGAATTTGAGCCTCACAATATTAATATAATTTGAGCCCCACTATGTATATAATTATATATATTTATATGAATTATATATAATATGTAGTATAATATAATATGTAGTATAATATAATATGTAATATAATAATTTATATAAATATAACTGTATAATTTGAGCCTCACAATGTTATTAACATAATTTTAGCCTTACTATATACTTATTCATTTATTTATACATGTACATATGTAAAACTTTGTGAACTACAAAGCACTATATAACTGAGATATGATAAAATAACTGACACATACACACACACACATATATATGTATATACACATAATGCTTTAAGGTTGAAAAAATGCTTGTTCTCGCAACAACCCTATGAGATAAGTCAGGCTGACACTATTACTCCTATTTTACATGGGAAGAAACTGAGTCTCAAAGAGGCCATACAGTTATTAGATGTTGGAACCTGGGTCTCCATATTCCAAGTGCAGTGCTTTTTCTACTAAATCACAAATGAGACAGAGCAGAAATCCTTGGATCATTCTTCCTGAAATGCTGAGGGAGGATGCTTTCCTACTCAGTATTATCTAATCCAGCAGCACAGTGGGACCAGGCATTTGATGCTTTTGTTAGAAAAAAAAAAACCTTAAAATGAACTCTAGCCATAATCAGAAGTGTAAAGGTTAAATAGAAAGGTATCTCTTCTTATGCTACTAAAGGGTTCCTTTCTTAACCTCTTCTCTCTGTATCCTCTGAGATCTCACCCAGATCCAACCCCCCAGGCCATCCCAAAATCAGGGAGTCGAAATTTAGGCAGTTAAATGTTCCTCAGCCTCAGGCGATTAAAATAAGATATAAATCAAGGATTTCCTTTGATCTTTTCTCTTCCAAAGGGAGAGTGAAGTCATCCCCAAGACAGTTGTCCTGGAGGATGTTGCAAACTCCGTTAAGGTCAAAGGGGAACAGAGCTGCCTGGTTTTTAGAGGAGTATTTTCTTAGAGATGGAAAGGATTTCAAGACATGATCTGACCCAGTCCCCTCAGTGATTTTAGCACAGCAATGCCTGGTCCTACCTTTGGGTCAACCATCCTAGGTTTTGGCAAGATGATATTCCATCTGCCTTGTGTCTCAGTGAGCATTCTCTCTGCTGCTGTCCCCTGCCCCTTGGTTGTGCAGAAACATCACTTCTGGGTACTGTCTACTCTGGGAAAAGCCTCTTCAAAAGGAGGGAGGAAATTATCGTCAACATTCCTTGTCTGCTCCCTCTGACACCTGTCCTCCTCCCTTTCTCTCTGATCTTTCTTCCTTTCTGTAAAGCACGTCACTTTATTCCGTGTTCCTTCTGTTTCATCTGCCTTGCCAACAGAGTTCATTGAAGTAGGCAGCTCCTCCTTATCAAGCTCAGCCCTCATTGTTCTTTTGTGACACAGCAGTAAAATAGAGAGCCAAGGCCTATAAGCAAATGGGTTTACAAAAGAAAAGTAATTTGGACAATTAGAAAAAATAAACCAAATGAATCTAATTAATGCACTATGATCACAGGCCACTGAAGGCTAGAGATGTAGTCTGCATTTAGTAGCTGAATAACTTGAGTTGAATCAATAATACACTTAATAGGAGCCCATTTAACCGCTTGGTTATAATTATGCCATAATAACAATTCTTCAGTTCCTTGTCACTTCAGATTTCTTAAAGGCTCTCCTAATTTTGTATTATGGTTACTTAACTGTGGATGTTTCTGAAGAACTGTTCCTTCATTTAATACAGTTGTGATTATGAAACAAGAGGGTTTTCTGCAAAGCTGTAAAGAAAACTCACATTCATTACTTCACTGATTGAAACTGAGCTGAATTTGACTAAATAATATCAATACTAATGAATCATCTCTTCTTTCCCTCTCCACTATAGCAACAAAAAGTAATCTGAGCTAACAACAATTCCAGCAATAAAAAATGGGGGCAAATAAGCATTACATGAAGAAATTAGCCCATGATTTTAGCTCTTGTTTTAAACTGCCAATGGGAGCTAGCTAAATCATTTCCTATAGAAACCAAAGATTTTGTTCTCTTCCACCTTAGTTTGTGTATCACCCTCAAAGAACCAAAATAAACCTGAAAGTAGATATTTTTGTCTATTAGTACAAGTAGGTGATCACTGGTCAGGCATATCAAAGAATAGTTTCATAATTAGTAAGGTAGCATGGTAGGCAGAGTGTAATAAAATAAAAATTAATAGGAACAAATGTAAAATTCTTCACTTTGGCTCAAAAAATCAATTACGTAAGTAAATAAGGTTACATTATATAAAATCAATTACATAAGTAAAGAAGGTTATATTATATAAAATCAATTACCCAAGTATAAAAGGCTATATTATATAAAATCAATTACATTAAGTATGGAGATTACCTTATATAAAATTAATTACTTTTCAAAAATCACTTAAATAAATATAGAAGCTGTAGCTAGACAATTATTAGTATGAAAAAGTATCTTGGGCTTGTAGTTACAAGTTCAATATAAGTTGGAAGTAAGACATAATAGCTAATTTTTAAAAAATTATCATAGGTTGCATTAATACTATTTCCACTGTTCTTGCTAGCCTATATCTGGAATGTTAAATTCTAGGTACCTTAGTTTAGGAAGGAAATAAACAACCTGGAGTATGTTCAAAGGAGAGTGACAAGAATTATGGGAAGAATGAAAGCCATGCCATATGAAGATTGGTTGAAGGAACTGCATATGTTTAACTTGAGGAAGAAAAGATTTAGCAGGAATATGACAATACAGTTGCCTTTATGTATCTGAAAGTCAGCAGTATAGAAGAGTGAATGAACGAATAAACGAATGAATGAAAAGACATTAAGTATTTCTTATGTTCTAGGAACTGTATTAAATGCTGTGGATACAAATATAAAAGCAAGGTGGTTCCTCCCTGTATAGAGCCTTACACTGTAAAACACAAATAGGGGGGTGGTGGCTAGGTAAGTGTGTATGGTCAGAGACTTCAAAAGGATGGTGAGTGGAGTCTTAGGACAATTTATTAGCATATACTTTCCAGGAATGGTTGTCAAGTTTGTTAATTGTTTGTTCCAACAGCTCTTGGTGAAAAGGGGAAGGAGGAAAGATGCCCAGAGCAGGAGTGCCAGGGCAGTCAGAGGTGAAACCTAGGGCACTGGAGGATGGCATAAAAGTAGTTACAGATACCTTATACCAGGCTACTGAATGGCACTTCCAGGAATGAAGAAGCCAAGGTGCTTATCACAGTCCTTGGTACATAGCAGGCATGTAATAAATGTTCATTCCTTTCCCTTTCTCCTTTCTGTTTAGAAAAGTAGATTCTACCCACATCTTCATCTAGTGAATTATTTCTTGTCTTTAAGCTTCAGTCTCCTTATCTGAAAAATTCAGACTGCATAATATTTTTTCTCACTCAGCCATTTGAGATTTTTTTGGAAAAAAGAAAATCAGATAATTGGGGCTTTTTAGGAAGGAACCACTTTTGTTTGCATTAGGATGAAAGCTGCTTTTTCATCTAGAAACTGAGGGAGTCTCCCTGTATGACCTCCAAAGCCCTTTCCAGAGCTACAATTATAGGAATCTATTAAAAAAAAAATATATATATATATATATATACACACACACACATACAACAAATGAAACTTGAGGAAAACAGGAAAGATGTTCCTCAGAAAGAAGAAAAAATTTCTGGGAATATGGAATGCTAAAATTGGTTCCTAGCCCTCAGGTAGAACAACTGCTTGGCAGACACATTTCCACACTGTCTGAGGTTCCTGAACCACGCAGGGTTGGCAGAGAGAAGGAGGTGGAAGCAGAGCTGGTGGCGGAGTAGGTGATTGGGAAAATGTTTGCCCCCTCCTTTTTTCTCAGCAGACGGTGTTGTAGTCAAGTACATACATCTGCCAAGTTTTGCTTGCAGGATTACTGGACCCCCAATTGGTCTGATTTCCTCACCTGGCTCTTCTTGATTTATCCCCCCTCCCTTTCCTTCCCAACTCCCCCACCCAACACACACACACAACACACACACACACACACACACCCCATCCCAGGGAAACCTATGACTTGGCAAAGAAAGCCTTCCCTTTCTATGAAACTGAGCTAGAGCGGTCAAAACCTCTTTCAGTTTTGAGCTCTACAATGCTTAGCTAAAGGGTAAGCTGAAGGTTACAGCCCTATGAGGTGTAGGTCCCATTCCAAAAGGCAAAAAAAAAAAGGCTGTTGTCATGTGGTTTCTGTTATCTGTAACCATGGAAAACAGTGGCCATCTGGGCTTTAATTTTTAACGCTTCCTTTTCTCTTGATTTCCTTTTTCTTCTCCTGGGGAAACACAAGCTGAGGAAGTGGAGAGACTGGCGGCGATGCGCTCGGACTCCCTGGTCCCCGGTACCCATACCCCACCAATCCGGAGGAGGAGTAAGTTTGCCAACCTGGGAAGGATTTTCAAGCCATGGAAATGGAGGAAGAAGAAAAGTGAAAAATTCAAGCATACATCAGCAGGTAAGGTGTTCTTGTTCCCACTGGGATGTCTATGGACTTGATGACTATTAAAGGTAAGGTAGGTTGACCCCTAACGTTTGATGGAAGCTGCCACTAGAGGTGACCAAAGTGACTTTTAAAAATGCCTTCATGTGGAGAGGAATCCTTGCATTTTCTTTCACATCTTATTTTTTTTAATGTCTCATTGACACATTAAATAAAATCAGATAACAAATCATCATCTTTGTTTTGACACCCACAAATAAAATGGTGTATCCAAAGATGTGTACTCTCCCTGCCCCCACCTACCTCAGAATAAACATTGAATTCTCCAGGGAGACTGCCCGTCATTAGCTGTCCTCTTCCTAGCATTGACAAATCATGGCTCTTATTTCCCCTAGTTAAAGCAGAAATTCTCACTGCATCAGTTCAAGAGGAAATCACACATGAGGCAAAAACTAAAATCATCATAATTTTTGGTAACTAAGAACATGGAGGAAAGAGTGTTCATTTTTGGATTTTAGAGGATTATTCCTAAAAACCAAGAGTAGAAATATAAAATTATCATCATGACCAATCTATTACACAGTTAATGGTTTTATATACCTCACAGAGTTATTCTGAATCAAATGCTCTGTAAGCTTTAAAGTGCTCAATATAAACATGAGTCATCATTGTTGTTGTTTATTGACTGGAAAGAAATTGTGAAATCATTCATAGAGAAATATTTGGGGTAAAAGCCAAGAAGATATGGGTTCATTACTTTGAAGTAAACAGTTGACATAACTAAAGCTATTTTGTAGAAAGAACAGATTGCAAGATTGGACAGAAGGAAAAAAGTTGAGATAAAATGATACATCCTCCAAAAGATTTTAGGAGATCCATCTAAGACTCATGTTTTCAAGTGAATGCTTCTCTGGCTATGCTAGGAAAAAATGGTCTGTAATATACAAAATATGTTTGAAGCTTTAAATTTATCATACTACCATTCATCAGCATGATTCCAAGAATAATGGGGAATAGATTAGTGGACAGATTTTTCACTTAGAAAATCAAGAGCTTCATCTATGAAATTTGGCAGGACCATTGACCCCAGTGTCACTTACACACCAATGTACCAAAGTGATGACTCCAGACCTGCCAAGATGCTGGAAAAGTTGTCTTCTGAAAAATAGCAGCACAAAGAAATTGCATTATTACCCATGGAACTTGAGATTCACACATACACACACACAGAGAAAAAGTTTAAAATACACCATTTTCTCATGAAATCCTATCTTTTGGAACAGTATGACGAAAGTAATAGTCAAAATTCCTACCTTGTTTTTATCATTAATATTCTTTAACAGGTTTGTGCAAGTTAAATGACCATGGCAATCACTCAATTAATAAGTATTTATTAAGCACCTATTATGTTCCAGACACTGTATTAGGCATTGGGTAGTTGCAATGATATTTGGAGGGAGTGGAGCATTTAGTAGTTTTTCAAAATATTCAGCCCCTAAATTAGAGCCCTGTAATGGAAAAAGAAAGAAAAGTACTGCTAAGAAGAAACCATACCTAGATTCTGTTAGATGAGATTAAAAATATCTGTAACTGACTCTAAGGCCACTGTAGTTCACTAATGTCAGTACATCTGTACCCCAGTATTCCGTTTGTTCCTAACTTGATTCAGAATCACAAAGTCTCATATAGAAAGGAGATGACTTCGGATAAAGGTCACATATCAAAAACATACTTCGGGCAATTATCCCTGGGAACCAAGGAGTGAAAAATTACCAGTTTTGCACTTTGCCAGGCTCAATAAGCATAATGTTGATGCACAAATAGCCTCCAATGGAAATAGCAGCCATCATTTCAAAAGGCCATTAGGTTAAAATTAGAAATGTCAACATATCCCAATAGACTAAAAATGCCTTGAGGCAGGAACAAGGTTTGTTTGGGGTTCTTTTTTTTTTGTCTTCATGTTCCTATTATAGAATGGTGGCAGTCACATAGTAGGTGCCTTTCATATAGAAAGTGCTTCATAAATGTTTGTCTGACACATAGTAGGTATTTAATAAGTGCTTATTGATTTGACTTGTAGTGATTATTGAGAAAGATGTTATTTGCTTTCCTTGAGCTATTGTATATAGGTAGGAATGTTTATTTGTTCTTTGTATGTAAACCCTCTACTAGAATCTTACTCTGATTTATTCTCATGGCTTGGAGATGACCCTGGGGTCTTGGAGGCTATGCCATTATAATACACATACTCTGGCCAATGCTACTAAGCAGAAAAGGCTTCAGGGGAGACATTATCATACAAAGAAAAAAGTCATGGATTTGGCATTGAAAGACCAAGGTTCAAACTGAACTTAGACAAGTGATTTCACCTCTATTGGACTTAATTTCCTTAGCCATGAAATAGGGGGAGGGGATAGATTAAGGGGCTTCTAAGGAGTAGACTTGGAGTCAGGAAGACCAGGCTTCAAATCTTGCCTTAGACATTCCTTAGCTGTATGACCCTGGACAAGTCACTTCAATATGGTGTGCCTCAGTTTCCTCTTCTGTACAATGAGAAAATTGGGCTCAGTTGTCTCTAAGGTACCTTCTAGCTGTAAATTAGGTAATTAAAGCATCATGCCAGTGATGCCAAGGCTACTCTACCAAGTAAGAAAGGAAAGAAATAAGTACCCACTATGTGTCAGGCACTCTGCTAAGTGCTTTACAAGTATTATCTACTTGATCCCCACAATAATAACCCTGGGAGATGGGTACTATTATTATACCCACTTGACATTTGAGGAAACTAAGGTACGCAAAGGTTAAGTGACTTGTCCAGGGTCATACAGCTATTACTTCATGTCTGAGGTCTGATCTGAACTGAAATCTTACTGACTTCAGGTCCAGGGCTCTTTTTTTTTTCTAGTCCAACAGGTAGGTCAGGTGTATCCTTGATAGATACTAAGTGGGTTTGTTCTGTGCCCTAGTCAGGACAATCTTCTTAGCCCATTAACATGTTACCCTTGTACCTCCTTGCTTATGCTATCTCCCTTATTTGTAGTTCCTTCTCCTCTCCACCTAGCCCACTCTAATCCATCCTTCATGGACCAATTCAGATCCCAGCTCTCCCATGAAGGCTTCACTTAACCATATTTCTGGAGTCCTATAGCGCTTATCATCTGTGCCAAACAATTCATAAAATATGGGAGTGGGGATGGGTGGGGATGGATGCATATATTCATATATATATGGGGATAGGGTATACGTGTGTATATAGGTATATGTGTGTGTGTGTGGATATGTGTAGCTGGATGTGTATATACACATACAAATGTATTATATTCATGCACATAATATACACAGATTATATATATATGTAATGATATATATACATACACACTCTCCCTATATATGCATGTATAGTATATATATAATACATATATACAATAACAGCATATATGCATAGTTATATGCATAACTATAGTTATATTATATACATATATAAATATATAATACATGTGTGTATATAATTGACTATACCTGTTATTCATCTTATATGTTATGCTTATCTTTATTATTTTTACATATCACATAATATGCTTGTTAATGTTTCAAGCATATTATTCTTGTAACTCTTACTGCATTATAATACTTTCAAGGTCAGGCTTCTATTTCCATGTTACCAACAAGAGTGTGGGACATTGATTAGGTGTTCAAAAAAATCATTTAATTGATTGCTCACAAGTTTATCCTATGAGCCCATGAGCCTACCTACTGGAATGGTTGGGATCTGCATTAGTATAAAGAGTTTACACACTGATGGACTGAATTGGGTGACATCCATCACCACCTACTAGAAAAACAATTCAAGTTAAGTTCCCTACTAAGGATGGGTTAATAACAACATCCATGTATTTGAAGAACGGCACACTAATTAATCAGTTATAGGGTGTGTCATGGTTTGTGACTACCTCTTCACTTCCAAGACTATATATCATGCACAGCGTCTCAAAGGCTTATCTAGATGTATAAGTAGATCCTTGCTTTCTACCTGGTATATTGGTAAGAAGCAAGTGGTCTGGGAAACATCAATCTGTTGTTCATTGATTTATATCAGAAGTGATATGATTTCAAGAAAGAAATCTTCTGCCCCTTCTGTTTGTCACCTGTTCTTTATGTGGTTATCTATAGTTGTTTTTAGTCCTTTCAGTTGCGGCTAGCTCTTTGTGACCCCATTTGGAATTTTCTTGGCAAAGATACTGGAGTGGTTCACCATTTCCTTCTTCAGCTCATTTTTACAGATGAGTAAACTGAGGCAAAGAGTGTTAAGTGACTTGCCCATGGTCACACCGCTAGTAAGTGTTTGAGGCCAGATTTGAATTCCAGTCTTCCTGACTCCAGGCCTAGTACTCTATCCACCGCGCCACCTAGCTGTGCAATCAGGTCCGTGAAAAATCATCAGCTTTATGATGCTTCTGAAGCCAAAACAGTAATCCCATTCAGAATGAAAGGCCCTGGAAGACCAAACTACTATCATATACATAAAGGGGGGAAAAAAATGGATAAGAAAACAGTGTAACAGAACATTCCAAGGCATGATTCCTACCTCTGCTTCAGTCCATCTGTCTCACTAGTTTCTTGTATGGCATTTTCTAAATTAACCTCCCAGACCCAGCCACTTTGTGAAATCTTCAAACAGAGTGCCCACGCCCTGTCACTGCACTGCCACAGAGATGGAGACAAATGAGAGCATCCCCCCAACCCCAACATAGAATAGACAGTGCTTCCCCAAAATAGTTAAATGCAGTAATCTTATACAGAGTTCCTTGAAAATGAGGATTATATTTATAGAAAAGAAAAATTGGCAAAGAAAAAGCCATGATGATGCCACAGTCATTCTTTTATTCTCTCTTGACAAGCAGGCATCAGCTGTAGGGGCTGGCCTTGGAAATAAGAGAGAGCCAAAAGTCCCTGTGGGCCTGCAAGTGAAGTCAACAAGCATTTACTGAATAATTAGCAAAAGCCCTTGCACAGAG